TCTCCCTGAAGAGTAAACTTCTGAAGGGAGAAAAATAAACCTGAAAATGTCAGTCCCCATCATCTCTTATTCATTTACAGGTTTAGAATATTTAAACCAATTTAAGAGGTCTTCAATTTCCTAACAGCCTGGGAACCTTAGAGAGCGTGAAAAACACCTGGACCCATCCAGTTTTCTATCATGCAGGCCTATAGCCTCTCAGAACCTCTCCAGTCTGAGGATACAGGTTTGAGCCAATGCTGCTGGTCTTGGGCTGGGCAGATCTCCCTTAGAGCAGGTTTCATTGATGTCACCAAAAGACAACTAGAGGCGAGCGAAAAACCGTCTCTCTAACTCAGACTACAATCGCAAGGCGCTGGGAACGACGAGCACTGCAGCAAATGGTAAATGCCTCAAGTTTTGATATTGAAGGAGGAACACTGGCACGACTCAGATGCGTTATCAAGAAGACCTTACCTCTTTCTGGTTCTCCTCAAACTTGGCGAAAGCCACGTACAGGTGCTCGTCCATGTGCTCCTCCCCAAAGAACTCCACCGCCCTCTCGTACACCTTCCTGGCGTGGGCAAAGTAGCTGTGCTTCTCCTCGAAGCGAGCGTACTTGATCCAGTTCTTCACCTCGGGGTGAACCAGCACGAGTGCAGCTCTTGTTAAAGAAACAGCCCTGGCTGAGTGGCACACCCCCAGCTCTGCTCCTCCCAGGGGCTACCGGCTCAAGGACTGCACCACACAGCTCCCAGGATGGCACACAATAAATGTGTGCAGCTGGGAAGAAGACACCCACAGGTCTAAGCATGCAAAGGCTTTGTGCCTTACTGGGAACTTAAAAAGGGGTAAGGGGCAGGGAAAATCTGAGGAGAAACCTGAAACAAATGATGGCTACAAAGGAACTGGGTGCATGAGTAGTGCAGGTAAACGCATGCTGTTGTGGCAGGTCCTACAGCCACTGCACTCAGTCTGGAGGCTTTCTCTAAACATGCTTTTCACACCTCCTGCTGGCTCCCAGAGTGGTGGCTCATTCCCAGCACACCGCAGTGAAAAGGCAGAGGGACACTGCTGGACACTGAACACTTGGGAAGGAAATAAAGAACAGAGACCTTAACCCAGGCAGGAGTCACAAGGCTCTGAAAAGGATATATCTCTCGTAAATGCTCCGTGCTCTGTCCACCTCCTTGTATCTCAGCTCAAAGTTAATGTAGGAATGCCAGGCTTGCTCCTCTGGCTGCCACTCCATCCACCGCTCAAACACCTGGCGCGAGCCAGCAACGTTCCCCAGCATCTCCTCCATGTACGTGTACTTGTACCTGGGGAAAGGACACGGAGCTTCTGCAGTCACGTGGTGAGCACGTCCCCTCAGGGGTGCCTGGAGTGCCTCCTAAGAGCATCCCTGAGCTTCCCCCACCTATTTCCTCCCACCCCAGAAATGCCTGTAGGCACAGCAGTGGCTGGTGGCATCCAGGCACACAAACATCCTTCTCCCCCAAGGCTCTTGCCACTTAAAAAGTACAAAACCTTTCCAAAACTTCAGGCTGCCTCCTTTTTTTTCAGACTAGCCCGAAAACTTAGAGAAACAGGATAATCTGCATAACCCCAGGACAGCCAAATGCTGTGGGGTTTTTGGGGCTAAAGGGGATCTCACTGCTCTGCCACCCTACCAGAACTGGTTCACCCTGGGCAGGGTGGTGATGGCCCGGTCCCAGATGTTCCGGGCGTGGTTGACCTGGCGGTTCTTCATCTCCATCTCGGCATATTTCAGCCAGAGGGTGACGTTCCTGTAGTCCACGTCCAGGGCACGCTCGTAAATGGAACGGGCTCTGGAAAAACACAAGTACAGGGCAGGTAAAATGTGCCTCCCAGACTTGGGTGTGGCTAAAAAGGCTCCTAAGGGATGCCTGCAGCAGCATCGTCGTTACCTCTGGATCTCCTTCAAGCTTTCCTCCCATTGTGCGTACTTTATCCAGTTACTGATAACAGTCCTGTTCTTTCTTATGTTATCTTCAAAAGTCTGAGGAGAAAATGACATCTGTAAGTCAGAAATCCTTCTGCAGACCATTCACATGAAAAATGGCTTATGGGTATTATTATAATATTATTATATTTCAAAGCAAAAAGCCAAGCAAAACCATGGGTAAAACCTGTACAAGCAAAGCAATTAATTTAAAAGAAGATTTATAACTCAGCATTACTGTAAAGTTTTTGGGGTTTTTTTTTCTGTTTTGTGTTCTTTTATAGTGGCTGGCTAGATACTGGTGGTAATGAAGAAAATACCTATTAATTGTATAAATAATTACCCTTTCAGTGTTCTGAACATGGGCACAGGGGAGATGTTGCTTGCTACCAGATTTTGTCAAGCAACAAATCTGTAAATTACAGCTTCTGCAAAAAAGGATAGCATAAAAAAGGAGTTTTAAAGAATTGGTGTCCACCTGGGAAATCCAGGAGGAATACGTGGATCCACTACATCTTTAGTTTAGCTAAAACCACTAGAATTTTAATGCTTTTTTTGCGAGCGTCGAGATTAAACCTGGCTTCTTTTCACCGTACCTTCCTCTTCCGGAGTTTATAGTCGTTTAGCTCTTCAACATCTGTGATCTTCTGCTGCGGAGGCGGTGGCAGAAGCTCGAGCTCCCTCTCCTTCGCCTCTCGCAGAAGCTGCTCCGCTGTGATTTGAACTTCGGCGGGTGCTTTGTTTTTCACCTGCAAGGCAAACGCAAGGGGGGCTCGGCCCGCGTTTCCCACCTCAGCACCGCCGCGGGCTCGCTCCTCCGGCGCCCCGCTACGCGC